CAAGGGGACATTGGGACATCAGGGGACACCTCGGGGACATCAGGGGACACCTCGGGGACATCAGGGGACATTGGGGACATCAGGGGACATCGGGGGAGGGGGGGGGATGTGGGGGACATCAGGGGACACACTGGGGACGTTGGTGACATCATAGGAGAGATACTGGGGACATCAAAGGGCAGCCTGGGGACATCTGGGATACCATGGGGTCACCAGGGACATTGGGGACACCCTGGAGACACCCTGGGGACCACAGGGACACTGGAGACTCCTTGGGGTCACCAGAGATGTTGGGGACACCCTGAGGACAGCAAGGACACCCTGGGGACACCTCAGGGACACTGGAGACTCCTTGGGGTCACCAGAGATGTTGGGGACACCCTGAGGACAGCAAGGACACCCTGGGGACACCTCAGGGACACTGGAGACTCCTTGGGGTCACCAGAGATGTTGGGGACACCCTGAGGACAGCAAGGACACCCTGGGGACACCTCAGGGACACTGGAGACTCCTTGGGGTCACCAGAGATGTTGGGGACACCCTGAGGACAGCAAGGACACCCTGGGGACACCTCAGGGACACTGGAGACTCCTTGGGGTCACCAGAGATGTTGGGGACACCCTGGGGACAGCAAGGACACCCTGGGGTCACCAGGGACATTGGGGACACCCTGGAGACACCCCGGGGACCACAGGAACACTGGAGACTCCTTGGGGTCACCAGAGATGTTGGGGACACCCTGAGGACACCAAGGACACCCTGGGGACACCTCAGGGACGTTGGGGACACCCTGGAGACAGTAGTGACACTGGGGACACCTTGGGGTCACCAGAAATGTCAGGGACACTCTGGGGACAGCAGGGACACCCCAGTGACACTGGGGACACCTCAGGGTCACCAGAGAAGTTGGGGACACCCTGGGGACACCAGGGACATTGGGAACAGCAGGAACACCCTAGGGAGACCAATGACACTGGGGACACCTCAGGGTCACCAGAGAAGTTGGGGACACCCTGGGGACACCAGGGACATTGGGAACAGCAGGAACACCCTAGGGAGACCAATGACACTGGGGACACCTCAGGGTCACCAGAGAAGTTGGGGACACCCTGGGGACACCAGGGACACCCCAGGGATGTTGGGGACACCATGGGGATTTTTTGGGACACCAAGGACACCTTGGGGATGTTGGAGACCCTCTGGGAACCATCAGTGACACGAGGTGACCCCAAAGTCACCCAGAGGATCCCCAAGGGACATGAGAACCCCCCAAGTGACACGGGAGAACCTCGTGGACCCCCATGGAAATAGTGGCCGTTTCACCCCCATAGTGGCATCAGCCACGGAACCCCATGGAGATGATGATTCTGTCACCCCAAGTGACACCCAAGTGACACAAGGGGACCCCAAGTGCCAGAGATCAAAGCTGGTGGCTCTCAAGGAGCTTCTGGGGCCCCTCAGAGCCCGGGGGTGGGTTAGGAGTCCTTGGGGACATGGTGGCCACCCTCGGGGACACGGATGTTGGGGATGAGGGTGTCACCTGCTCGAGGGCCTCGGCGAGGTGGCGGTCCAGGCGTCCCTCGCGCTTGCGGAGCTTGGCACTGTCCCACTGCAGCCCCTCCACCGTCGTCTCCATCTCCAGCACCTTGGTCTCGGCCGAGGTGGCCTTGTCCTGCAGCTCTGCCAGCTGGAGGGCAACAAGGGGACACCGTATGGACCTTGGGCACGACCATCCCACGTGGACATTAGTCATGGAACCCCCCCAGAGATGGTGGCTATGGAGCCCCATGAAGATGGTGACAACAGCCATTGAACCCCTTGGAAATAGTAGCCATGGAACACTGTGGAGATGATGACATCAGCCATGGAACCCCCATGGAGATGGTGACCATGAAACCTCATGGTGACATCAGCCATGGAACCCCCATGGAGATGGTGACCATGAAACCTCATGGTGACATCAGCCATGGAACCCCCATGGAGATGGTGACCATGAAACCTCATGCTGACATCAGCCATGGAACCCCATAGAGATGGTGACCGTAGAATCCCACAATAGTAGCCATGGAACACTGTGGAGATGATGACATCAGCCATGGAACCCCCATGGAGATGGTGACCATGAAACCTCATGGTGACATCAGCCATGGAACCCCCATGGAGATGGTGACCATGAAACCTCATGGTGACATCAGCCATGGAACCCCCATGGAGATGGTGACCATGAAACCTCATGCTGACATCAGCCATGGAACCCCCATGGAGATGGTGACCGTAGAATCCCAGAAACACGTCAACTATAAAACGTCATACAAATATTAACTGTGAAACCCCACGGTGACATCAGCCACGGAGCTCCATGGAGACAGTGACCACGGAACCCCCGTAAAAATGGTGGCCGTGGAACCCCAAGAGAAATGGGAGCTGTGGAACCCCACGGCGACATCAGCCATGGACCCCCGTGAAGGTGGTGGCCATGGAAGCCCATGGAGATGGTGGCCATGGAAGCCCATGGAGATGGTGGCCATGGACCCCCGTGAAGGTGGTGGCCATGGAAGCCCATGGAGATGGTGGCCATGGAAGCCCGTGGAGATGATGGCCACGGAACCCCATGGAGATGATGGCCACGGAAACCCATGGAGATGATGGCCATGGATCCCCGTGAAGGTGGTGGCCATGGAACCCCATGGAGATGATGGCCACGGAACCCCATCGAGATGATGGCCATGGATCCCCATCGAGATGATGGCCACGGATCCCCATGGAGATGATGGCCATGGACCCCCGTGAAGGTGGTGGCCACGGAACCCCGTGGAGATGATGGCCACGGAACCCCATGGAGATGGTGGCCATGGACCCCCGTGAAGGTGGTGGCCACGGAACCCCGTGAAGGTGGTGGCCACGGAACCCCATGGAGATGATGGCCATGGAACCCCGTGGACACAACAGGCCCACCCCTGGCCCCAGTCCCCTCCCAGTGCTCCCAGTACCTCCAGGGAGACGCGGTGGTGCTTCTCCTGCAGCTGGAGGGTGAGGTCCTGCAGGCGCCGGTGCTCCCTCAGCAGCTCCCGCAGCAGCGCCCGCCCCGGCTCCGACAGCTCCCCTGGGGACCCCGACATCCGGTCACCCCAAAGAGGGGACCCCAAAACCCCCCCGGGGACTCCCCCACCCCCCCAAGCTGTGAGCCCCCAGGGACCCAGGTCACCCCCAAAAAGGGGTCCCAGGCATCCGGGTGC